TACCCTTATAATTAAATAAAAAAATTCCAAAATATTTCTATCTCTTTCAAGATAAGAGCAAATTTAAAATATTAGCATTTAATATTCTATTAAAAAAAAAAAGCACAGTGTTGTCAAACTTAGATTGTATCTCGATTCATTGAAATTTGGACAACTCAGAACAAATTTAATGGAAGAAGGATGTAAATTCGGAAAGAAGGCGTGAAATTGGGTCAAAATTCCTAACTTTCATGGTCTATCCTCATCTTCTTTTCAATTTTCATTTTACCAAAATCAAGAAGCAAGAGTTTTCACCTTATTAAGGTGTAGTTCCCGGGTTTAATTTTAACCCCCTTATTTCTTTTTTAAAGGAAAAAAAAAATCAAGAAGCAAGAGTTATCAAAGATTTTCCTTTTACCACATTTCTTTTCAAATTAATACCGTCATCTTCCTTGAGCTTTTGCCTCTTGTCCTTCTAGTTCTTCCCTTTCTTGCAAAACCTAGTTTTTCAAAGGTTAATTAGATCAAGAAGCAATTTTTACTAACCAATAATGAAAAATAATTAGATCAATTCTTTATTTGTGTTTTCTTTTGGCCAAACAAAAGAGATATTTTTTTCACCGTTTAATAATTAGAAATGCTTCCAAATTTTTCATCATCTAAACCCAAATTGTTTCTTTAAATTATATCATTGTTACTCATCATTGAAAAACTCCACTAGAGACTGCTTCAAGCCATAAATCAAAGATTTCAGAAGTTATGGATGAGCAACTGAGGTGAGATGTCCACGATTTTCATCTTATAGAACTTTTTAAGGAAGAAGGTGTTTGTAACCGGAGATACAGTTCTCAACATTCTGGTATAGGAATGCTTTGAGATTCCAATTGGATCCCTTCTTGGCGTTTAGCCTCCCCAAATTCATTCCTAAGAATTGGTTGATTCGGATTCAATTCCACACGTCGTAGAACACTAGAAAAGGACACTTTTTTTAGCATGAGGTTTTTTATGTCCTTTTATTAGCCTGATTTTTTTTTTTTTTTTAACAAAGCAACCGTGATGCTTTTTTTTTTTTGGGGTTAAAAATTAAGGAAAACATCAAAATTCTTACCATTCACAGTTAATTTTACTTTCATTAAATTTGTTGAGTCGGCTTGACTAGTCATAAATTGTCAAAATTTAAGTGGAATAGGACAACTAATGATGGTGTTCTAGTTGTACTAGAATTTTTTGAAGGGTAAGTGGGACTACATAAAAAGAGTTCCATTAATGGCAAGTTAGATTAAGAAACACATATTTGATTTGCCAATTATTACTTCCTATTCAATAATAGTAGATTAGTAGTAATAGTTTAAATTTTTGATTTTACAAAAGGTTAAGGTAAAAACTTAACATAGTATGTAATTGATAATTGAAAATTCTTTTAATATTATTCAATCATTAAATAAGAACTAAATAGAGAAAAAGAGAAATTTGACATTTGTTTGCCATTTTAAATGGATTTTTTTCCTTATACTTTTAAGAATGTATTAATTTTTTTTTCATTAATTTGTATTAAAAAAACATAAAATTTAATTTTTTTTCTTTTTTTGAAGGAAAATCTAACTTCATTTTTTAACACCAATATCAATTAATTAAAAAAAGAACAATTAACTTGTGACACAAGATAGAAAACCCATGCTAAATTTTTTTCCTAAATTTTTTCTTTTTTGAAAAGTTAAACTAATAGTTTGAAGGTTTTTCTAATGTGTACTTATGGCGGGTAATTATTTATTTTTTGATGTTAATTGTTATTAAAAATAAAAAAAATTGATATAATTTTATCGTCAATATCAAGTAAATTATTTGAATTGAAATAATTAATTAATTAAAGAGATTGAAGAAAATTAAGATATCTTAAAAATTAAATTATTAGAACTAATAATAAAAAGATTAAAAAATATTTAGTAAATTAACACATAAAAATTTTTATTAAAAATATTTAAATATTTTTAGGAGGAATCTTGACATTTAAAGTGTAGTTAAGATATTTTAATTTTTACTTTTTCTCTCAAATAAATATCAATTTTTATTTTATAATACTAATTAACATGAAAATATAGATTAATTATTCATTTAACCTAGAGGTTTGGTCAGAAAAAAAACACTTAGGTGTAGTTATTGTCACCATCAACATTATAAGGCTAATAAAATTATAGGTTTTTTTTTTTTTCTATTAAATAGTGTCTAAAATATTGTTTTTGATGTTTATTGTTAATAAATTTAGTTTAATTTTTTTACTTTTTAAACATAAATTTCAGATAAAATTTTAACAAATTATGTAAATGATAATTGAAATTTTTTTTATCATGTTAAAATATTCAACAAGAACTTCATGTAGGAAACAAAAAATTTTCAATTATTGTTCCTATAAATTATTAAATCTTCATTTGAAATTTATATTCAAAAAGTTAAAAAAAATCAAAGTATATTTACTAAAAATGAACAAAAAGAATAATTTACTAAGTAATTTTAATTTATTAACTAATTAATAAAAATTATTTTTATTAATTATTAACTATTTTTATCAACTAAATTAAATAAATTCAATACTTATAAAAATTTTATAATTTTGGAGTCCATTTTTTTAATTAATTCTCAATATTTAAAAATTATATTAAAACCTAATTAATTTAAATTTAAATTACATCAAATTTTATATAAATAATTTTTTTTAATTTATTTTTTTATTTATAAAATTTAAATTCAAAATTTTAATTAAAAAAATTAAATTTTTTTCATCCCCGACTAACAAGTTAAATCATAATTATGGTGTGCATACAATTGTTAGTCATTCTTACCGTGCCCAACACTTTCTTCTCTAGTCTTGGGTTCTGCCCTTGCATGTTTGTCCACGCTCTTTAAGGCGCGTCTAGATACCAAGTTTAATTATTTTTCAGAAAAATCCTAGCTTTGCCAACTCTCTTTAAACCCAAAGGGCGCACACAGGCCATTCACAAATCCAAACCAAAATGCCAAAAAAGGGTGTAGACTCTTCCTTCCAAATTCCAAGTTACAAACTTCTGTGACTAAGGAATTTCAATTCAGAAGACCAAACCTCAAAACCTCTTTCTTGGAAAGCTGAAATCCACAGTTTGCTTTCCGGGTTATCGGGCTCCGGATCTGCCACCCATTTCACCAGCATCCCTGCCTTTTTCAGGTTCCCCATATACACAAGCTTTCCTCCATACCCCATAATCTTATGTCCCTTCTAAGACCCATATAAAGAATCCTACCTTTTTTCCAAGAAAACAGTCACTGCGCATTAAGTAACTTGAGAGTAGTAATATATTGAATTGATGGCGGGCAATCAGCAGGAGGGGCTAGGAGTAGGGGATGATTTCTTTGAGCAGATCCTGGCAGTGCCACCCGGGTTCGGAGGAGGTGGTGGTGGTGGAGGAGTTGAGGTGGGCTCTACCATGCCCATGGTGTTGCAGTTGGGGTCTGGTGGAGGGAGTGGCGGAAGCGTGGGAGGTGGGTACAGAGGGATGGGATTCGGAATGGGGATGGGAATGATGCCTTTGGGGTTGAATTTGCAACATGGGTTCTTGAGACACGAAGATGGGGTTCTGGATAGCAGCAACAGCAACCATAATGCTTCTTGCTCTGCTACTCCTGCTGTTTCTGGAATCAGCGTAATACACTCCTTTCCTCTCCTTTTTCTTTCAAGAGTAACGAATGAATGGTTACAGTCTTTGCTTTTTTTGGGTTTCCTTTTTCCTTTTTTATCTTTTTGGTTTCTGAAAATGGCAAAAACCCAGAACTTTAAATTTGGTGTAGACTGTAGAACATTGTTTTTTGTATTTGTTAACAATTTTAAGAGAAGAAAAATGAGAATGGTATTGGGTAGAGGAAATGAAGTTGAGAAATTAGGCGGAATCTGTTTTTGGCTGAATTCATCTTCTGATTCTGGGAATTGAATTTCCTGAATTCAAAATGAGTCTGCTTTTCTATGGTGGGGAAATTTCAGAGAAATTCTTAGGGCAATAAACATTTCAGAGACGTACTTTTTCTTTTTTTATGTTCACTTCAAGCATGGTGGTCCTTGTTTTGTTTTACAGAAACAAATATATAGATAATAATTGATGGAATAGAGGTCATTTCGGTGTTATTATGTACTTATTGTGCCCTGTTTTTTTTTTTTTTGGTAGGAGAGAAATTCTATCCATATGCCAAGTTTGTTTCCAGCGTTTGGACAAATTCAAAACCACTCAGTCCGGCCGTCGCCGCCTCCTGCACCACCTGGTCCACCACAACTCCGCCAGGTAATTATGTTTATGACAAAAATGCCTTTCATTTTTTTTTTTTAAATCTCGCCCATAGGTCATTATTGCCCTTTTTTTCCTTATTTATTTTTGCCTTTAGTGATATAATATTTTGGTTTATTTTCTTTTTCAACTGGTTTGCATACAATTTTTTCTTAAGATATTCATGTGGTATTAAACGAATAAATATATGTCTTTTATGCTTGTCACAAAAAATTGTTCATCAAATTACTACAACATATTATAAAATTTCATTATAATAAAAGGCTTGTATAATTCATTAGGTTTGCTTGAGTGAATAAAATCATTCGAATTATACTGAGAATTAAAATTTGAATTTTTTCAATGTCTTTTGAGTGTATAATAATTTTAATGGACTATGTTTGCCACTCTTAAAATTACAAATAGCCGAGGGAGTAGTATCATATTCATGGTAACCTTAAGGATTAAATTTATTAATAGGTAAGTGTTGAGTTCAAGTTTTAAGTTCATAATTTAAAAAAATTAATTTTAATAAATATATTAGGCCAATATTAGAGTGCATTTGTATGATCGTATGAAAAGGAATTAATCTTATATTCCATAAAAGCTGATCTAGGAATTTTTTAACCATAAATAAAAAAAATTGTTATCATAATATAAAAAAAAAACCTGTGAGAATATATATATTTTCTTCAATTTCAGTGCGTTTTCCATTTTAGATAAATTAAAAGATTAACTATTTAACAATAGAGACATTTCCTTAATCTAGATTCTAATCCAAAATTTTAAATTAATAAATATTAATTTAACCATTTTTTTTTTCGAGTAGTGCGATTTTCCTTTTGTCTGTTTTCTTGATGTATAGTGAGGTTTCCCTTTTTGCACGGTTTGGGTTCATTATTAGGCCATGGGTATTTTTAATTGGACTTAAGTATCACGGGGTGAATTAATGGGGTAGTAACGCCAAAAAAATATAACGGGGTATTTTTCAAGTGCGTGTTATTGTTACCGTCCTTTTATTGTCAAGCCTCCAAAATTTAGTTTTTTTTTTTTAACAATATTTAAGAGTATTAATTTATTAATTAATAATAAAAATCAATAGGT